GTAGATGCAGTTGTACTATCCTGCCATTAAAAGTTTTGTTTTTTTAATTTTAATATATTTTTCAATCACAGTTGAAGTACAAAATTATATTAGTTTCAGGTGTACAACCCAGTGATTAGATAACCCTGATAAATTTAGGAAACCCCCCCCCCCTGCACCATACATAGTTATTACAGTATTCTTGACCGTGTTTCCTGTACTGTACTTTACGTCCCCGTGACTATTCTGTAGCTACCAATCTGTACTTCTTAATCCCTCCACCTTTTCCACCCAGCCCTCCAGCCCCCCTCCCAACTGGCATTTGGTTGTTTTTTAAGGTCAAGATCATTGCTACAGAGAGCACAGCCGGGTAACAGGATTGACTTAAGTTTTGAGAGGTTAACCGTTATCTAAAATCTTGGCAAATGCTTTCTTAATTGCTATATTACCCTGGCAATCATCTGTTTATATGAAAAAATTACATGGGGGTTTGTGTTGTCGCAGGTGGTCCAGGCACGGGTTAGTCCCCTTCTTATGGAGGGTCCCAGTCACGATTCCACCATTTATTAGGCAGGCAGGAAGGCGGGCGGAAGTGAGCGGGCTGATAAGGACCGAGGCTTGGAAGTTAAGTCATCTACTCACTAGTTCTGCTTTGTCACGAAACCCTCGACCTCCTCGTTTTACCTTCTGGCCTCCTTTGTTTCAGCTCCCAGCTCCTTTATCCGTAACAATTTTTTTATTGTGGTAAAATATACAAAACAAATTTTACTATTTTTTAAGGACACAGTTTGGTGACATTGAGTACATTCACATTGTTCTGAAACCATCACCATGTGCATCTTCAGAGCTGTTTCATATTCTCACTGAAACTGCACCCATAGAATAACTCCCCTTGCCCCTCCCCAGCCCCAGGCAACCACCTTCTTCTCTCTGTCTCTGAATGTAACTGCTCTAGATTCCTATGTAAGTGGAATCATACAGTGTGTGTCCTTTTGTTACTGGCTTATTTCACCTAACATAATATTTTCAAGATTCACCCATATTATAGCATGTGTCAGAATTTCCTCCCTCTTTAAGTCTGAATAATATTCCATTGCAGATATACATACATACATACATACATACATATCTCCCTCATTTTGTTTATGCATTTTTCCATCCATGGACACTTTGATTTCTTCTACCTGTGGCTATTGTGAATAATATTGCTAATATTGCTGTGAACATGGGTGTGCAAATACCTATTTGAGTCCCTAATTTCAATTCTTTGGGGTTATACTAGACATAAAGAAGTTTAAAGAGGAAGTAAAATTACAGTGTAAAGAGTTTTGCTAAATGCACAGCATTTTATGATGGGGCATATATAGTAAACTTTAGGTAAATGAGTAACACAATTCCTCATGCGGTTATAGTTGATTTCCACCTGAAGTCTGTGTGAGAAGAGGTTACCCCTGGATTGCCTGTCATTCGTAGGTGCTGTTGGTACGACTAATGCTGACCCATTTCTTTGTGCAAACCTTAGCATTTTACTCTTTTCCCATAACCAAACCATAGGATTTTTCCATTTATTTTAAACACAACTTCATATTTTTATTCTTATGTTAATATAGGCAGTGCCTAATCCCATCTGTGCCTTCTGGGATCTGAACAAAAATGGTAAGTTTTCAAATATATTGGCTATCTTAATAACAACTGACTTTTAAACTTGTTAGACACCCCTGTATCCTTTTATTCCACCCCAAACCAGAGTGAGTCACAATATAAGTGTGATAGCAACTGAGCTGAAAATTTTAGTTTGGGTAGCTTGGGAACTAAATTCTAATTTCTAAAACTTTTTATTCATTGCAAGAGGAAATAGAAAGGTGTGGCTCTTTAAAAATTCAAACCTCTTTAATTTCAGTAATTTATAAAATAGAGTAACATTTGTATTGCCATTGTAGGTGAACATCGATGTACACTTGGTCTCACTCTTCTAGGACACTTCTGAGGAGGTTTTGCGATGTGCATAAGGCATATAACTAGAAATCCAGCTTGTGGCCCTCAGAGTATGGGAGAAAGCCCACCGCAGGGCTGAAAGATAGGGATGGTTATAATAGGTGTATACCACTGGGAACAAGTGAGCTGCCTCCTGAATGACGTTTGACAATCAGGAGACAAAGGCAAAATTCAGAGTTCGATCATGAGGTGTAAGGTGTGGAGATCTCTTTGAAGGGAAGGACCAGAGATGAAACCTCCCACTTCTACCCCCTAAGGGTCACCTTCCCTTGGGGTCCCCATTGGGATTATCCTGCTTCTTGGCAGAGATGTGGCCTGCAGATGTCCAGACCTCTTTCCTCGATACTCTATCACAGCTGGAAGGTTTTTTTGTTTAATTTTTAGTTGCCCAGTTTTGAAAAGTTCCTGATTTACTAGATACATAATTTAAAAATGATATTATCTTCCATTCTTAAAAACATTCTTCAAATGTATCAGTTGCTCATATTCCACAGCATAGTATAAAAGTCAGGACAGATGTATTAAAGGCATTTATCGGAAGTTGCCTCTGTGCACCACTGCCATGTCCATGCTAACATGTTCCAAGAAAGGCCTTCCTGTTCTCATGTCTTCACGAAAACATAGACTGACTGACTCCGAGGTGGGAAAAAAGTTGATTTCTAGAGGATTTCATCCATATATAATGTGTTTGGAAAAGGATATTCCCTTTTAGGAAAGTCTG